CTGGATGTGTCTTCCCCCCACCTCAATGGGGATGATGTGGCGAGGGTCCCCCAGGGCCTGTCCCACGCTCACCCAGTGGACTGGGTATGGGTGCTCTGGACCTGGGGCCCCGCCTTCCCCTGCTGGCCTGGCCTGGTGGTCCCCTCCCCCTGGCACAGCCCTCTCGACTGCAGCCCCCGGGCCCGGCGGTGCCCCCTCTCGGTGGACTTCCACCCAGTTCACACCCCGCGGGTTCTGCTTGGCCGCCATTTCCTTCATCTTCAGGCACTGGGCCACCTTGTGCCCCTTTTGGCCACAGTGATTATACCTCATGTCGTGGACTAGTGCTGGGATCGGCAGTGAAACGAGGCTTCCTCCAGGAAGTGGAGTCACTCGGCTAATTAACGCAGAGAGGAACAAGCCCGTCGCAGGGACCCGGTCTGACCGGGTTCCAGATGCCGGGACAGCGAAGCAGGAGAGACTGCGGAGAGCCAGCCCTGGCCTGGGACCGGTTGGGAGCCGGCACCCCCTAGAGGGGACAGGCCCCTGCTCCACCTTCGCTGGGGGGGAAGAGCGACTTCTCCCCCTCCCGCCCATTGCCAGGGTTGCATCCGGCCAATAAGAGGCAGACACCGTTCAGCTCAGGTCCAAAGCACGTGGTTTATTGGGGGGGGGTCACACACACAGAGGCTGGCAGGGGAGCAGGGTTCGTGGGGGGGGCGGGGAGTGGGAATACCGGGGATTAGGGGGGCAGGGGGCATTGGAGAGCCGTCAAGGCCGACCAACAATCATTCCAGACGAACTGCAGCAGCTGAAGTAGACGTCATTCAGGGCCGTGTCGTCCCCTTTGCCTTGGGGGGCCTCCACCTTGGTGGCGATGGTGCAGATGCCCCGTGGGCCGCAGGAGCGGCTCTGGGGGCCCACTTGCCTCAGCTCCGCCCATCCCCCCTCAGCTCCGCCCCGCCCGTGCAGGCGAACTCGATGTTGTTGGCAGCTGTGTCATCCTTGAGGCGCCGGCAGGGCTCCTCCCGCAGCCGGAACTGGGTCAGCCGCTGCCCCGAGAGACCTTTCTTCACTGGGCCCCACGAGCCCCACCTGGGAGGAGAGAACGGGTCAGTGGGGCACGGCCCACCGGGGGTGCTGCCTTCCCCCCAACCTCTGCCACTCTGGGCTGGGAGCTGCTGCACTAGTATCCCACCGCTACCACCACCGCGATCCCACTGCTGCCACCACTAACCCTCTATCAATACCGCGATCCCATCTCCGCCACCACTAACCCACTGCCAATACCACGATCCCACCCCTGCCCCCACTAACCCACTGCCAATCCCACAATCCCACCGCTAACACCAGTAATCTGCTGTCAATACCATGATCCCATCCCTGCCCTCCAACCGACTGTCAATACCATGATCCCACTTTTACCACCACTAACCCACTGCTGTCACTGACGTCCCGCCATCGATGCCACCCTCCCATCTCTGCCACTGCTAACCCCCCCGCTGACCCCCGCTCTGTTGGTGACACCCCTATTCCACTAGTGCGCATGGAGCCCGGTGCCCCCTCTGCCACCTGCCCACACCCTTTGTTGGGCCCCTCCCCACGGTACTCACGGCCCCACGTTGGACTGGGTTGTGGAGGTGGGGGGCTGCGTAGAGGTGGGGGACTGGGTTGTGGTGGTAGGGGGCAGGGTTGTGGTGGGGGTCAGGGTTTCAGGCCTGCAGCATCTGAAGTAGACATCGTTCAGGGCTGTGTCGTCCCCTTTGCCCTGGGGGGCCTCCACCTTGGTGGCAATGGTGCAGATGCCCCGCGGGCCGCAGGAGCGGCTCTGGGGGCCCCACTTGCCCCGGCACAGCCCGTCCCCCCTCAGCTTCACCCCGCCCGTGCAGACAAACTCAATGTTCTTGGCGGCCATGTTGTCCTTGAGGCCCCGGCAGGGCTCCACCCGCAGCCGGAACTGGGTCAGCCGCTGCCCCGAGGGACATTTCATCACTAGGCCCCACCAGCCCCACCTGGGAGGAGAGAATGGGTCAGCTGGGTACGGCCCACAGGGGGTGCTGCCTTCCCCCCAACCTCTGCCACCCTGGGCTGGGAGCTGCTGCCCTAGTATCCCACCTCTGCCACCACCACATTCCCACCTGTGCCACCACTAACCCTCTATCAATACAGCGATCCCACCACTGCCACCACTAACCCACTGCTGACACCGACGTCCCACCATTGATGCCACCCTCCCATCTCTGCCACCGACCCCAGCTCTGTTGGTGACACCCCTTTTCCACTTGTGCGCATGGAGCCCGGTGCCCCCTCTGCCAGGTGCCCGCACCCTACGTTGGGCAACTCCCCACGGTACTCACGGCCCCACTTTGGACTGGATGGTGCTGCTGTCGGAGCAGAGCAGCCGGATCCCGTTCAGCGCCGTGTCTTCCCCGGCGAGCTGGGGCAGCTCCACCTGCAACGGGGCATTGGGGGGAACAAGCCTGGGCATTAGAGACTGGTCCCCCATCACTTCAGTGCAAGGAGATGGGGGGCAGAGGGGTGTGGGGATGGGGAAATTGAGCAGAGGGGCTCAGGGCTGTGGGGCAGGGGGATCCGAGTTGGGAAGGAGGGCAGGGACAGGGGGGAGCTGGGCTAGGGAAGGGGGCAGGGAGTGGGGCAGGGGGGGAGCCGGGCTGGCGAGTGTGAATCTTTACCTTCAGGGAGAACCCAACGGCGAAGCTGTTGCCGGGGCAGGACTGTTCTGCGCCCCACGTGCCCCATATCCCCCCATTGCTAACGTGGATCTTGGTCTGGCCCCATGCGCCCCACAGGCAGCAGCCGAGCAGAAGGCCGAGCGTGGCGTGCAGGGAGCTGTCCATGGCTGGGTAGGCGAG